TTATATGTGGTACCACACTAGGACATTTACTGCCAGCCTTAAATACCATGAACTGCTACTTTTCGGCATTGTATAGTAAACCATGTGAGACAGCGAATTTTTAACAAAGACCGAGTAGAGCTCTCATCGCACTAACTGAGGGTGCCAGTAGAACCATTTCGTCCGCGTAACTGATATTTTTCACACACATCTTGCCAATATGGCAGCCGACACGCATGCTGCTGAAATCTTGAATCCGTGCATCCCCCTTGCCTCACCCCACACTCCATTCTGTACGGCTCGGAATACTCATTCGCCCATCTCACATAATTCACTTGGTTACTATACCAATACTTGAGAAAATCGGTGAAGCCACAAGCTAAACCTACGTCTTCTAACTTATGCCATAAGATGTACGAGACAAGATCGAAAGCTTTACTCAGATCTAGGTAACAGGCGTAAACTGGGGTGCGCCTGTCCGAGTAATATTTGACAGTATGCTTTAAACTCATTATTGCTGTTTCTGTTGATAGACCACGCGTTAAGCCGTGCTGGCCACCATGTAGCATACAGTGGTTTTCTAGAATAGAGTTAAGCATACTGTCAAATATCTTGGCTATTGTCGTCGCCATTATTGTCGTCGTGGTCTACAGTTCGATCTCTCTGATACTTCACCAGTACGGTTTTTTACAATGGGGATAACTGAAGTCCTCATTAAGTCGGCAGGCATTTAGGTATGCGAAACACAAACATTAAATAATAGTGCCAAAACTGTAGGTAAGTGCACGCCTGCATATTTAAAGTGCTTAATACTGAGACCATCGTGACCGGATGACTTACCTGCAACCATAGTTTTAATAACACGTGCTATCATTTTGTCACTCGCTACCATTTTGAGTTCACGCTTGGTCTCAACATTGCACACGGGGTGTGACGACGGCCCTAGGGGCCATAGTTTTGATTACTGCACATGATAAAATAGACACTATGTTTTTATATAAATCATCTATGATACTCCTATGACTCATGTTGTCACGAAAACCATAGCTACATTTTATAAATTCTGATGGAAAATGTATTGACTTAAGGTTGTTGTTACATAATTCCGTATAACGAGTTATTTGTTCATCAGTTCTGCAGCCCCATTTTATTTTATTGCACGTAATTATTTTCGGAACAACCTTAGATATAATACAGTTTAACCTACATTCAATAAGAGTGGGAAGTGGTCAGACCAGTATATACATCATATAAGATCTTCGTGTTATTTATTAACTTATACGCTGACTCAGTGACTATACAGTGATTAAACCACCTCCCAGTCCCATGCGCGTCACTGACGTATGTAAACGAATTACAGTCTAGGGTACTCAGTACTCACGTCGGTACAAAACCAGTCCTGTTCCGCGCAAAAGTTTTTCAGTTCTTCATAAAACGGCCGCCTTTTTTTTTTACATGGGGAAATGCCTACGCATACCCGCCTCGCGGGGGCAAGGACGGGTTATGTCGGACTCGCACCGACTAAAACCCCATGGTGTTCCACCTTTGTCGCTTATTGGCAGGGCCACGGGAACACTTTCGCACACATCCGCAGCCCCACCAGCGCCTGCCGCCCTATGGCAGCACCTCCTCGGGAGCGGAATACTCCCCGTTCTCCTTCACAGGTAAGGCGCACCAGAACACATGGCGCGCCTTCCTTCTCGGCCTCTAATCACATCTGCGCAACGGACGCCCCCGCGTCCAATGCAAGAAGGCCATGGGGCCAGGAAAAACAAGCACTTAGAAGTACTAGCCTTCCCGACCCCAGCGGCGGATCTGGTCTATGGCTCCGCCGCCAACCAAGATTCGGCTGCGGAGGGTAGGGAGCGCGGCGCCTCGCAATACCGACAATCCTCTCCCCCCGCAGCCCCACTACCACCACATCAACGGTGCGGCCCCGTTTGAGTCGCGGAGGATAGGGCGAGTGGCGCATCGCCATACCAACACTCCTCTTCCTCCGCGACTCCACCTCGGCTGCAGCGGTAGGTGGGGAGGACACACCTCTCACCGCAGTCCACCAACACACATCCGAAGTGGGCTTCCCAAGCCCACTCGGAGTGGCCACCTTGGGCCGGCCCTCCGCCTCGGACCAGCCATATGGGTTCCTCTTTGTTTCGCCGTGGGTGGGCATAGTCCCCCAGTAGGAACACTGTCTCACATTTACTTTCCTCTACTATAGCATTTAAATAGCTTAAGAGTAAATCTGTTAAGTTTTAAGTGCAATTAACGGGCATATATACACTACACACTATTAGCTTTTGATTACCGAGATCAACTTTAATGGCCAAATACGAGCACTTGAACACGGTATTACGGATAGACATAGGGTAATACATAGGGGAAGACACTTTTTCTCCACAGTAGCGCGACCCCCCATAGGGTCGTCCCTCCAATACTCCAGTCGTCGTATCCACAGCACGCGGTGCTTCCACAATCAGCATCAATATTCTCAAGATATACGACAGGTCATGCGGCAGCAGCCACGGCTCTCAAAGAGCTATTATATCGGCTGTCTTACATGGCTGACGGACCCCCTCGCCCGTTGTTTTTACAGATTTACAATTAAACGTAACAAAACGGTTACATGACATGGCTTTATCATTTCTATCCATTACGATCCTGGTTTATTAGCTTCGGCACGTTGATTCCCGTGAGAATTGAAGTTAACGAAGCGTCTGAATATTATTCCTTCCGGCCACAGTTGCTCGTCGAGGAACATATAATAGTTTATGCCTGGGGACGAACATTTTAAATTTTAATAAGATTATATCCCTTTCTTTGCGCTGGGATATTTTAATAAGAGATATTTTCTCATTCGTCTGTTTGTACACATAGTCACTTATGGACTCTGCCTTAGTATCTTTGTGCACATATGTAATGAATATAGGCACTTATAAAAGTTTGTCGAATTTTAAATCGGCAGATACTGTTACATATGGCACAGCGTATATTGTTACATTGCCGCAAGAATGAATTACTGACTCTGTGGAATCGAGAAACTGGTACTACTAGCTTGTGTTCGTCCCTAGTATTTACAGAGAAGCCAAAGTTAATATACATATTTTTTATTTTTCTCTAAGAGACTTAGGTTGTAAATAGCTCTTATGTCCTTCTTCTGCAAAATATAAATAATTTCTAAATCAGCCGCATTTCCCCACCGCAAAATCCCATAAGACATCTGCTATGGAAATAACTGAAATAAACTAGTCTAGATGTCTCGATACTAGTAATATCTCTAATCTTTTTGACAGCATAAGCTGCAGAGCTTAGTTTGCTTGCTTGTTTGGATATAAGTAATGTCAAGAAAAACAAATTATTCAAGAGGGCTCAGTTCTTCCCCATTTAAAAACACATTGGTATTCAGATTTTTAACTTTCGTTGATATAAATTTGATACATTTAGTTTTATTGCCGTTTAACTGTAGATTATTAACGTTAAATCAATGCACTAATTTTGATTCAGCGTGATTCACTTCGTCACATTAAAATGATTGGTGTTTAAGTTAAAAATCAAGGAAGTATCATCAGCAAATAATGCTATATCATGATTATCCACAAGGGAAGGTAAGTCATTAATATACACTAAAAATAGGAATGGGCTAAGAATTGAACTCTGAGGAACACACACCCATCTGTACGGGCGACCCGGAAGAACTTTTACCATTAATAATAACTTTCTGCATTCTATTACTTAAATGTGAAATAATAGGTTTAAGAGCTGTGTTCTTGACATCATAGTACGGTAGCTTCTTGATTAATGTCTTATGGTGAACACAGTCTAAGGCATGGAAAGGTCGCAAAATTTACCCAAATCATCCTTTGGATTCTCCTATGCACAAAAATATGTTTTATAAACTCAACTCCGGCGTCGGTTTTCGAGAGACCCCTTGTAAAACCAAAAAGGCTTGTATGAAGAAATTTATTTATATTAAAAAAAAACTTAACATCTGATGTAATTATATTTAATTTTCAAAAATTTTACTTAAAGTTGGTAGTACACAAATTGGTCTAAAATTGGTGGGGTCTAATGTACTATCAGATTTCAATAAAGGTACAACTTTACTGTTGTACCTTTTTACTTACATTTTTCTGTAAAAACACCAGATTCGACGCTTCTATTAAAAACAGTGGCTAGATAAGGTGCTATTAAACCTAATATGGTGTGCACTGGTTGTACACTCTTGTTTCAAGTTCTGAAGTATATACGATGAGAAAATGTGTTATTCTCCTAAAAGCTGCCCAGCCGAAAGGGATGCGTTGATTGATCGCCCAATTGCTTGACCAAAAGACCAATTAAGTACCTACATATTTTCAGGGATTTACCTTCAAAAGTGAAGAATTTTCATACCAACTTGCATCCCCTATTTAACCCCCTTTAGAAAGGTATAGAAATATCGTAAAATCATTTCTTAGTGGGTGCTTACATTATAAAAAAATTATAGTTTCAGCGGTTTTAGAGAGCATGTTCTTTTATGATTTATTTATTTTATGATTATATTATAGTGTTAGTTTATAAATAAAACTTTATTATAAATAAACTGGCTGTTTACAATTCACAGATTAAAACAAAATTTATAGTGACATGCCATTTTTTGGAAATATTTCAAATTATAAGTGCAGTTTTAATAATACTTAAAAATATGTTACAAAATTTCCAATAATAGATAAGTGAATGTATAAGTGTTAATAACGATTATGCCTTTTTCGGATTCAACGTTTTCGATTGAAATCGACGTCGAGGATTTTATAAGTTATTTAAAAATTTTAAAATGCAGAGAATTTCATATAAAGTGCCTATTTAGCGATGTGTTTACAATTAAACTTAATGTAAAAGATCCAAAACTATTAAAAAACCAAAAACTGAGAGAACAGAGACAAAAGTATACCGTAAAAAGTAAAGCCATTCGGAAGCTAGCAGAGTTCAAATCACAGGCCATCCAGTCAATTCTAATTTCATATAACGTCAAACATCTTATATCCAAGATGGAAAAGTACCCAATTGTAATATTGGTTCAACAAAAATCGAAGCCAGTAATAGAATTTGGATCTGTACAATTTAGGTGGAAAGAATTATACATTGATTACTTAAAGACGATAGATTTGAACCAAGTATTACCTTCAGCTGTTAAAACTACAGAAAAATATATAGTTTTCAATAATATGACATCGCAGCAAATTGCTTCTTTTAAGGTAACTGTAAAATTAAGTATTATAAAAAATCTAAGTTCAGTTAATTGCACGTTTACATTCAAGGGCTCGAAATCAAGAAATAAAATGAATAAATCAAGGAAATTACCAACGGCAAATAAAAATCTGTTGACCGAACACAAAATAAATAATGATATACATAAAGAAGATTCATTGTTATTAGCAAAATCTCAGGAAACATTCTTAAAAGATAAAGTATTATCTGACAGCAAAGATATACCTACGAAAAAAAATATATTAAATAGCGTAGTTAAAAGTGCAACAGAATTGAACAACAACGAACACGTACGCGTAATGAGATCAAAATCTTGCTCAACAATAGAAACTTCAAAGCGTTTTAATATTTTAAATTATATTTTTGGTGATGGTATTGGACCATATGGTAATAAAGTTTATTGCGTGGGATATTTTACAGTTGAAACAGATAAAATAACAAATAAAACATCAGATAGTCAACCCAATGAGGGACAAAATTCAGAAAAGTCAAATGAAAGTAGGTTTAATTATAGATTATCTGACGTTCAATGTTCTAATAGAGATCATGTAAGTGATACTAAAAGCTTGCCAAACGTTGGCTCTTTTTTCTTACCAGCTGAAATGGCGGATATGGTAAACGTCACCCAATGTAAACGAGTTGAGTGTAACAATAGAGATCATCGGGGTATATCGACATCGGGTGAACGTCAAGTATTGCTTAACTTAGACAATTTGAATAAGGAATGCTGTAATAAAACAGGAAAAGTTGAAGAAGTGTTAGGGGGTGTTACAGCTAGGATGAAATTTGGAAAAGACCCGTGTTTTTGTACATGTGAGTGTACATTTGGGTTTACAAAGAAAACAACTTATTGTGGTGTTTGTGGTGGCTATGAAAAAATTGGCGAAGACTTAGCTCGCAAGCCAAAGACTGAACTGCCTTTTCCTTGTCCAATTTTCCACAAAATTTTAGATAAACGCAAATTAAAGTCATGCAGTACATCTGGCAGTGATAATATAAAAGAGAGTAAAAAAAGAGAGTATAATATAGATAGTAAAAAAAAGAGCGAATCAATTGATTTAAAAAGTATAAAAGCAGTTTCAAAATCTGGAACTCCATCTGACAGACGATCAAATGTAGAGAAAAAAGGCGTTGGATCCGAAAAAGAAAGAAAAAAATCTACAAAAAGAAGAACAGACAGTAAATTCAAATTTAATTATGGTTACAAAGGTATACGTACGTATTTAAAACACTTTTTATTCTAAAATATTCAAGATTATGAATGAATTTATTTTTTTATATTTATCAACTCCTTTAGCTCCTCAAATTGGGCATAGTCAATGTGCGATGCCATGCTCTGGAAAATTGGTTCCAGTACCAAAGCGTATGGGTTGGCTGTGGACCGCTGACAACGTGCTAGGCGTGAAGGTAATTTAAATTGTACTTTTTGTTCATCATGATACTTAATAGTTTACTGCCAGACTCACACCTCCTATAATACATGTCTGCCAGACAGATTTGTGATCGCAATAGCAGACGTTTTGAATCTTTGACGTTACTCCTTAAGAGGAGTACATCTTAACTATTTTTGGCTTAAAAAAGATAAATGTATTTTTGGCTTAAAAAATAACGAGCGCCATTTTACTTACACATCATTAATTGTCATCTGTCAGTGGCCATAAGATTTTTTTCTCATTTTTAATGACACCTACGGGACATCTAGAGTCATTTTTTCTCTTGAACTATTACACGACGGGAAGATAATAAATATCTTCTATATTAAATGCATTTTTTTCATAACATTCCAGTATTTTTTTATTATTTATTATTTTTTTTTGTTTTTTTTTAGCATAATCCTCAGTGGAAGCCTGGAGCTATCCACAAATTTGTGCACAGGTTATTAAAAATAGCTAAGAATCCCGGAGAAGTGGTAGCTAAAAAGAAAAGAAAGGACATTGGTAAGAAAAAGCGCCCCTTAAAAAGGCCATTGTTAGTAGTACACAAGAAGAATGGAGAATATACCGTTACTATGGAAACAATGAAGAATTACTCAAAACGTAGACAACTTAACCAGCATCCATACGATGATAAACCAGTTATGACTTACACTATTGGAAGAACAGAAGAAGAAAATCGTGCCCGACAAAAAAAGAAAGAACGCGAACAAAGACGCCTTGAGAGAGCCCAGCGTCTTTATCTTCAAAGTGCATTTCAAGACATGTGTCATGAAATTTGTCTTAAGACTTATCAACAGGCATTAGGTATTCTACCAGATGCCGAGGATCCCCAATGCCCTTGTTACCTAGCAGAACTTCGTCCTGACAAAATAAATACGAACGTTTCTTGTTCATGTTCAGAGGAGGCATCTTCTTTTGACTCTGATACAGATTCAGATGAATGGATTGTCGAGTTTACACCACCAAATGCTACTTTTATTCCTACTTTTAAAAGTAAGAAAATCGCGACAGTCGATAATTCGTCACAGTATACCTATTTAGATTTCAGAGTGAAGTTATTTGATAGACACGGCAATCCTGTACCTAGATTCTTTAAAGGGCCTGATGGAAAACAGCAATGTAGTGATTTAGGTGGATTTTGGAGTCCTGATCACAAATGGTTAGAAATAAACGTGGATGGATATATTGCCCCCGATGGCCGTTGGGCTCCAAATTCTTTTAGAGGACCAAATGGAGAAACAGTTGATACCGAAACAGGAAAATTCCAAGCTAATAACGACAAATGGCTTGTAGTTGGAGTGGATGGGTTCGTAGATGGAAAAGGAAGATGGCATTTTTACCCCAAGCCCAGAAGCATTATGACTCATAAAAAACAACAGGCAAGTGAAGAAAGAAAAATTGGCACACAAAATAAAAAAGAAACCAACTTTTACAAAACTTTATCCACATGGAGCTGCTTTGGTGATGCTACTCCTAAACAATTGTCTACAATGGGCATTGTTGGACATGGAACTGATCGAAAGTTATTGGCACAAAAGTTACAGGATATAGTTGCACATGATAAAACAGCTAACACTCCGGTTATCAATACCAATTTTCGGTATTCAAAAAAACGTAAAAACCTTAGGGCTAAGAGTCCGGTGACATCAACAAATTGGGGCATGGAATACTTCCGGGCGAAGTGCAGTCATCCAGTACCATCAGATAAAGGTATAGAAGCAGTTGACATACATGGTAACAAAACATATTTTCGTCTTAAAGAGTACAGGAACAAAAGACCTAAACAAAGAATGGCTAATTTATTAAAACAGGGTATAAGTTTGAGTTCTTTTCATGTACCTTGTTTACACTCCTTTATAAGTTCTGAAATTATGAGAAAGCAACAGCGAGAGAGACTTAAAATGCTTGCGGCAAGACATGGTGATTCCAAAGATTAACAATTTTATTTATTGTGTTAAGGTCTGCGTCAGTTTGTGTATGATAATTTTCGTTATAACAGTATGATGTAATAAGCAATAAATGTAGATATTTAGTTGGTTTGTTCTAAGAAAAATTATGTAACGTCTTATAACTGTAGGAAAAATTAAATTTTTATTTTAATTTATTTTTATCTTTCTAATTTCTATTAATAATTTCTCTTAAACATAACATACATACACATTTATAAGCAAAATAACCGAAAAAAGTAAGTTTTTTTTTTAATATTATTATTTTGTCTTATACAGGGTGTTAGTGTAAACACCGTTATCCTTGAAACCAGTGGTTTGGTTTCACTTATAGAACGTAAATTTAATGAATTTTAAAAAAAAAACTTTTTTTTTCTTCATAAAATTTAAAAAGTTTCTGTCCGACATCGTCCCTAAATTCATGGATACCATATGCGCCCGAGTGACGTTTTCACTGTAAAGATCATCGCCCGCGCTAGCTACCTACACAACATTCCAATAAAAACAATAGGTATACATAACCTGTGATGTAACCTTTCTTTCATACCTTCATCCCGGCTTAGAACAGGCAAAAATTGAGAAATTAACGATAAATTGAGATTTTACAAATAAAATTTGTTATTTTTCATTGAATTTACGTTCTATAAGTGAAACCAAACCACTGGTTTCAAGAACAACGGTGTTTACACTAATACTCTGTATAACTAAATTAAAACAGAAGTTCGCACTACTTTTTTATTATGCAGGTTTTAGAAGGCTGGAGGCCCGGCGCAATTTCAAAACGTCTTATGAAGAAGCTATATGAAGCAAAGCGAAAAAAATCCGTTGTGGAGGAAATAAAACAAATAAAAAAGGCTAAGAAACGAATCGAAAACAAACCGACATTGATGATAAGTAAAAGAGACGGGGAATATAGGGTTGAGATCCAAACGACACCTGCATTTAACGTATTAAGCCGTGAAGAATACTCTCCCTTGATATATAGAATAGCCAAAGCTGATAATGAAGACAGAATTAAAAAGAAGAATAGAATAAAAAGACGACTTGTAAGAAGAGCAACAAACGATATCTGGATTGACAACAACAATACAAAGGACTGTGATAACGTTTGTCTGGAAGCTTATAAACAAGCTGTTGGGCTACCAAACTCTGGTGGTAAAAGTTTTGAGAACCATTGCAGTGAACTCGAAGCCATTGATATGCCAGATAGTTGTTTCTGTTCCGATAATGACATCAGTTCAAGCTGTGCTTCATCTGAAGTAGATTGGGAGATTCATTTTTCTCCACCCTCAGCGTGCCTAACCTAATCTTTTCTCTGTTGTAAGTTTTTTTTTAATTTTCCATGATTAAATTAAAAAAGCTCTGTAATATCAACTCTTTTTATTTTTATCAAAAAGGCTATTTAACATATCCCATATAACTAGCGAGAGTGTTGTATGCGGGGCTATTCTTAGATATAGAGGTCCAATTCCTTTGTATAATCCATGAACTCCTTCAGTGGTGTAAATTTTCTTAAGGCAGTCAAACACACCGTTGTAGAGGAGTTCACCTTTTGATGCAGGCCCTGTAATTATAATAATTACTTTTATTTATCAATGCGAAATATACTCAATATAAAATATTATTGTTGTAACAATTTCTGTATACTATATTCAGATATTATATACAAATCAAAGGCGCGCCGAGCGTTAAATATCCAGATATATTCTTAACGCTCAGCGTAAATTTCAAAGTATCGCAAGCAACACAGTCCTGACTTTTGTAAATATCGTAAAAGCCTATAGAAATATTTAATGAACAGAGAAGTCTGCCAATACGTACTGGAACGAAGCGGCGAACTAACTGTCCAAAAACCCTTACAGAAATGAGAGGATATTCGTGGTTCGTGCCTTGCAATTGGACGTATAGAGGCTTTGAAATAATACTAGTTTTTACGGAATTTATCGCGTATATTTAACTTTTTAAATTTAAATATACGCGATAAATTCAGCTTAATTTAATTTAACGCTTTACAGCACTGTCATGTAGTACCATGAGTGCTGTAAAGCGTTCGAAATGTCGGGTATTTAAAAAGTTAAATATACGCGATAAATTCCGTAAAAACTAGTATTATTTCAGGGTGTTCGGTAAATCATTACGTATAGAGGCTGTAACTTACGTAATTCTTCTTTGCTAAGAATATGATTGGTATTACTATGTGTTGTTATTATTACTCTACTCTTCATTATTAACCATAAAATTATTTATTATGGTGTACAGAAGATATATTTTTCTCAGTGTTGATTTTCAGCGGTTGTTTCATCTGATCGGTAAACCGACCAATCGGCCTGATGGAATATGCAATCAAAAAAATGAACGAACATTAAAATATCCCATTGACCTTAATGAATATAAAGAAATTAATTATTCGTCCACCGATAAGATGAACGGCAATAAACAATTTCAACTCATAGATTCTATTTAACGGTTTGTTTTTCCTTATTTTATTTATTTAAGGGAATTCAATTCATAAATCTTTAAAAGAATACAAATGGATATTGTAATGCCTTTTAGCCATGCTTTTAGCATTTTCTAACACTCAACCCAGTTCATCATTTTATTGACATTTTTTAGCAGTCGCCTATGTACTAAAATATTCAGACTTTTTATGGGTGTGTTTTTACACGAAACTATTCTCATTTGCAATGTATTATTATTTTACAATGAAATATGAGACTATTTAATATGAGAAAATTTGTTTTTTCGAAGGTGTCTATCTAAGAGAGGTAATTAATTGTATTATAAGTATACATTATTAAACCAAGTCAAAATTAATATCATTAAAGTAAAACAAATGAATTCCAGATTGCCTGAATGCCGTTGCTAGTGAACTATAGATCCTCACAGCACATATTTTGGATCCACAGTTCACTGGTAATAGTATTCCGTCGATTCGAAATAATTTATACGTGGTAGAGCCACGCTGCAGCTATATTATTGTTGTAGCACGAATGGGTCGGCTCGACCGAGGAAGGACCACGCTCTCACAGAATACCTGCGTAAAATAGCACTTTAATACTACTGTGTTTCGTATGGTGAGTGTAGAGATCCGGAGACCCTTTTTTACTGGAAACGAGGCATTCCATCTTAGTCCTCAAGTGTGAAAACGCAACTGCGTTTTGATTCTTAATCGAGGATAAATGTAGATGTTTATGGGCCACAGCATCCACTTACCATCAGGTGGACTGTGTGCTCGTTTGTCAACCTAATTCAATAAAAAAAATTATAATTAAACTTCGTTTTGTACATTATCGCTTCTAAAATATATTGCACTTTTTTGACTCATGAAAAAAACTAAGTTTAGGTGAAAACCCAAAGTAAGTGTGTACATACATACGTCCCATTGCTGAACGGAAGTCTTTTATAATTTTTAAGAGATATTGGCAGGAAAGGTTACGTCGTGCTACCCCCAAATGAGTGTTGGCGGACTTCACATGTATTCGAAATATTTTTAATTTTGTTTTACGATGTTTTCCTTTACCGCCGAGCATTTGGTGAAACTTAACTAAAAGGTTATAGGTACTATATTTGCTGGGTATTGGCGGTATAAAAATATCCACTATCATATTATGTAGGTGTCGTAAAAGCCGACAAAGGAAAATAAACCAGGAGATGGGCAGCAGCATCTTCCTAATAATCCAAAATAATACTGCGGGTGCTAGCCCGCCTGCCAAGCATGGCAACTATGGCAAAATCCCCTCTATGAGGCAAACTATGGAGGCCGCCTAAGTAGAATCTTAGGATGTTTTAATAACTATCTACACATTAGACACTTGTGAATCGTTCGTTTCGATCAAACACCAACAAATATTTTAGCGTTTTTGTAGTGTTTCTTGAATAATGTTCCGAACTTTTAAACCGTGTAAATAATTTTATTATTTTGAATACTATTTACTCGTATAGTTGAAAGACTCTATGATTATCTCAAACCCACACAAATGTTTCTGGATCATAATATTAGTAACTATAGATTGGTAAAAGTGACAATACATACTATTTTAAAATTCGCGTAAAGTAGTCAATCACAGATCCCAGGTTAAAAACGATTTGTCGATTGTTTGTTTCGGATCGTTCAAAAACTATGATTGAAAAAGTTCCATACTCTGAAGTACCACCACATCAGCGACAGAATCAGCAACAAAGTTGGGATCGTCCGGCGAGAAGCAAAACCCGCCCCCAAGGGTAGGATGCAAAGAAAGACCGCATCCTATCTCAATCTGCTGATCTATAGTGCCAAACACGGCGGCAGCCTGCAGAATGCAACCGCAATTTCAACGTGTGTGCACCACACTCCGGACAATCGGAGTCCGAGGAGCCTAAAGGGGCATCGACGGAATTCTGATATCCGGTCGGAGCAGAATGTCAAACAGGGAAGGTGCATGATCCTCCACATCTGGCATCCGCGTACGCGAAGTAACCAGTTGTGTCAGACCATATGCCAAGGCAAAATCATGAACAGATCTCCCTGCATGATCGGTTGAACGTTAACCAAGCTATTCGACGTGGTGGGCGTTAAAATCGCCGAGGATCACGATCTGCTGTAGCAACGAATCTGTAGCCATTTGGACGTGGTCGAAGAGTCACTCTGTTTGGCATTACCGCTATGGGACCTATAGAGGCACCCGTAGACGCGCGGAAGGTCGTCGCTGTCTACGCGTAACCAAAGGATGGACAGGTTCGAACCTTCAAGACTGCCGAAGCGTCGAGAACAGATGTCCTCTCTGACGTATAAACAAACTCCAGCCCGAGGCACAAAGGAGTGTTCCAGTTTGTACTACGGGCAGGAGAGATACGAAGCATCAGCCAGAGAGAACACCTGCGTCTCGGTCAGAAGGAGCAGAGCCGGCCTCGCCGTCTCGAGATGGTAGGATGGTCGAGTGGACGGCGTTTAGGTTAGAATGAAGTCGCCTGATACTGCAGAAATTCACGGATAACGTGGCAGGGGTCGCCTTGGTCTTGTTGCTCAGTTTGCCCCGAGCAGTTATTGTCTTGGGCGGAATTTTGCCCCCCTCCCCCAGAATACGCGGGGCAGCTGAGCATCCACGCTCAGGAGTGGAGTAACTTGGTCGTGGATGCTCAGCGAGGGATTCTCCAGGGGTGTTGGTACTCTCCTGGGGTAGATCTTCACTTAATTCCGCTACCATGTTAAGGGTGGGGGGGGGGAATTGGGTCGCCGGCCACCTACACTCACCAGACTAAACGCGGAAGCAGAGCTTCCACTTCACGCCGGTATTCTGTGAGGTCGTGGTACCACCCCGGTTTCAGCCGGCCCATACGTGCAACAGCAAAGCTGCCGCGTGGCTTTACCACTGTTAGAAAACAAGAGTTAATAAAATAATAGGTCAAAAAAGTTTGGTCGAGCAAGTAGACAGTTTGTATATTTGGGATGTGTATTCAGCAGGGATGGGAGATATGATAAGGATATAGAACGACAATTGGACGCAGTAAATAAAGTAAATGGCGCCCTACATTCTATTGTGAAAAGTCAGAATGTGTCAAAAAAGGCACGTATGGCAATTCACAATGCTCTGTTAACGTATGGTAGCAAAAGTTGGGTGTGGCAGAAGAAGCACGAAAATAAATGCAGTAGAAATGCGGTCGCTAAGGAATATGGGATGAGAAATTGTGAGATAAAAGAACCGTGTGGAGATTTGCGAGATGATGCTGTGACCAGGAATAAGAAAGTAATGCTTCGTTGGTTTGGTCATGTAGAAAGAATGAATGAGAAAAGAGTGACAAAGCAGATTAATGTTGCAGAAGTGACGTCCTAGACGTCCTAGGCGAAAGTTTATCGACCAAATTGGCGATATATTGAAAATGGGCCAAATTTGGAGTACCCTTAACTGACGAGCATGTATATGATTGTATGTTAAAAAATTGTTCAAAGGTGTTTCTTTCTTCACTGACATTTTGTATAATACAGTAAAACTAAAGTAACAGCCAATACATATAACGTAGCTATGCACAAGCCACCTGTCGTTTCTCCTGATCCTGGGACAGGGTTTAAAATATCACCGCTTTAAAAACCTGTGGCTTAATAGCTCTGTTTTGAAATTTTGTCCTCCAAAAAGTATGCAATTTTCTAAAAGATGAAATTATTTATGATGAAATTAAGTTTTTAGAAAACTGCATCTCAAGAATAGAGATCTAAAGCGACATAACACGAAGATAAAATTTCAGTTACTTTATAATATGTAGAACTCGCGTGCGAATTGAGATGACCGAGCCTGGGCGATGCAAATCGTGCGTTTATATTTGTCGCCACTCACGGTTTTTGTTACATTTTTATACACATATTTGTTACAATCACAAGCCTGTCAAAAGTGTACTGCTAAACATAGGTCCCCCCATAACTTGCCTTATTGGAGAGATATTTGCAATACTTGCCATGCTTGGCGGACGGGTTGGCAACCGCATTGATTATTTTGAGGTGTTATCAGGAGGATACTGCTGTCGACTACCTGTTTCAGCTTCGCTCCGCCACCTTTTACGATACCCACGACATGTTTTAGAGTAGAGGGCTCTATGCGCCTTCACTACACGGTATTGATTATTTGCATTATTTTAATTTAATTTAATACGTTGGAACTAACTAAAGCAAAGAAAAACATTTTGGTCAAATTACCCTGATTATAAAGACGTGTATTAACTACATCCAGTGGTGTTTCTACAAGCACACACAAAACTCCGCATACAATGCTCGCAGCGAACGCGAGCGTGGCGCGAGAACTATTGAAGTAACCGAGTTCTACAAGCTTTTCTTTCACTCTGAAACATTCAAACTCCCACTTATTATTTGAAAAGTAATTAAATAATTATGGCTATGTTAAGTGGACATATCAAAAATTCATACACGTTTATATAATTATTATAATTATAGTCTAAAATATATAATTGTTGGTGCATCTGTTAGTGATCCTGTAACTTCCGAACGACCGATCGATTTCGTTCACATTTATTGTATTTCTTTTGTCAAGACGATGGTTCATAACTATAGCCGATACTTAGGTCACACCATAGACAAGCTACTATCAATTTATGTTATAAATATATCAAGTTGTTTATACATTAAAATGACTCATATTCACAATATGTCAAAAATTATTGCAGTCATCAATTCGCCGTAACTCATACTCGTAATCACTAAGCCGTAGTCATTGACTTATATATTATAGGCCGTAGTGCTAAAAAAGAAAATCACAAATACTGAAAACGATAGATGGCGCTATCGTCTAGTTATTAGTATACGAATGAATTTGAAGTGAAATTTATGGCACCACCTATTACGAGTACAAAGAAACAGTATATTTTCCCCTCCGTTGCCTAGTTATAGTTTAGCTGAGTCATTCATATGAAGAAGTGATTCCCTCACTAGATGGAGTGATGGCTTGGTAAGAGATGCGGTGAGTCGATGGATGCAGGTGGATCAATATCAAGCTTTGTAGCATCTTTGGTGGAAGCCTATGTTCAGCAGTGAACTTGTGAAGGGCTGTAATGATGATGATGATGTATGTTTACTAAGAGTGTGGGTTTGAACATACAAGACCATACCCTGATTATAAAGACGAACTGCTGTGACGTCAAACGGGCAAATGGCCAGAGCTACCATCACACCGCTGAGTGCGCTTGCAGAGAACGCAAGTCCGAGCGGCGATTGCTGACAAATGCCGTACGATTGTAAAACTTCTTTGGCACTGCACAAACAGTAAGGTTTATTTTGTAAAAAGACTTGTAAGTCGTTCATTTCTAGTAATTCGTATAAAAAGCCAGAATAATTACACGCCGAGAGAATTGCATTTTAGTCCTCTGAGGTGACAACGCATTTGCAGCCTTTGCTTGTAGCGTTGGCTTACTGTCAGATGGACTGTAAGATCGTCGTCACTTAAATTTTATAAAAAAAAAAAAACGATCGTCAAGTATTGATTCGTACGCATCGGATTATTCAGGTCGATCATTCAAAAGGTTCAATTTAGGTTTCTGCACTCTGGCATCTCTGAGACCCGCTCGGGTCCGTTGTTCGTATTTCGCGAGCGTAGGTCATTTGGTTTCGATGGATGACAAACTTAGAGTATAGGTACATAAGTTAGCTTATATATACTCTAAGTTTGTGAAATATTCTTAGCTTGTTGAAGTGAAAACTTCTTTAGCGGCGTTGTACACTTTTTTGTAATGGGTAAAACATGTTAAACTCGCATCAGGATACGTGACCCTGATCGAAAATGCGTAAGACGGATGGAGAGAGTGAGACAGCCTGCGCAGAGTAAGAGAAGAAGTACCCCTCTCTTTCTATGGCGCGGCGAAAATGTATACCTACCGTCGCCGCGTCCACACGTTGGGCACGCGTTTAGTTTGCTACAAACTCCCAGAGTGATTAAATGCATCTGATTTAAATTTTATATTCACGCTTTGTAAGGTGGATGCCCTAATTAAATGTTTAAAGTTGAAATTGGCACTAAAAGGCTGGCTTTTAGTGCCAATTTCAACTTTATTCATTGGTACTACTTTAATTAGCGCGATTTAATTATTTTTAAACATTTGTTTTAATCGATAAGCTATTTATCAAAAAGAAATAATTAACATTTATTTACAATCAGATTATTACGAGAACAATTTTAAAATGAAAAAAAATGAAGCACGTCGTTTATACGTGGTAGAACCATGCAGTTATATTAGAAGTATAGTTGTAGCACGAATGGGTAGGTTCGACCGGGGAAGGACCACGCTCAGCGTAAAATAGTAGTTTAATGATGCTGTGTTTCGTATAGTGAGTGTAGAGAATCAGAGATTCTTTTTAAAGGAAACGAGGCATTTCATCTTAGTCCTCATGGGTGACAACGCATCTGCATTTTGATTCGTAATCGAGGATAGACTTGATAGAATCAGGCGTTACTTTGCGAAAATCCATTATAATAAACGGCTGACCGCTAAACCGCCGTAGAGTCTACATTACCTGAAGATGCCTCGTGTAGAGGCGAAACACGTGTCGTATTATCGTCGATGGTGTGTCTTGCCTGGAATAGTGGTGTTGGGAGTAGTGGTGCTGGGATTAGTGGTGACGGAGTTAGTGCATGCAATTGAGGGAGGGCGGGAGGTGCTCTTCAATCCAGGTAAGACACATCATTGTATTTGTTTGGCGGAAGGTTGCGAAGAAATTTATATTTTTATTTTTTATGAGGATAGACTTCACAATTCCACTGCTATACATTAAGTCACCCGTATCCATCGACTTGGTCCGACGACAACGACTATATTTAAACAGGTTATAATTTTGAGAATACTGTATTTGAAATAAAAAGTTGGAAACTCTAGTTGCAGATGTGAGCGATGTAGTTTTAACAGGTAATATTCTCTAAAATTTAGTATTTGAAATAAAAAAAGTTGGCAACCTTAGTGGGTGTGAGTAATGTAGTCGTTTTAACGCACTGACCTCTATAGACTTGTATATATAGAGGTCAGTGTTTTAACGGGAAATATTCTCTAAAATTTTGTATTTGTAATAAAAAACTTGGCAACCCTAGTTGCAGCAGTGATGTACTCGTATAAGTCTAATATCGTAGAAGCCTTTGTGTGACTTTAAGTTCGATTTACTTTAATGTTACAAAAAATATTTGAGTAAATCAAAAACTTACGTGGAGAATGTGGTTAGTTGTGCTGCGCTGCCGACTGCCAACCTTGCACAAGTCGCATTAACGCCAGCGAAGAAACCTTTTACACCTTCAGTCCTGTAAATCGTGATGAAAGCATCCACCATCCCTGAGGAAAAATTATGAAGGTATTAATTAGCTTAATCTCATTCCACCATGTACCTTCCAAGTGGAGGCGACACTCTAGCATAGTTTTTATAGAAGGGTGACAAACGAGCATAGAGTCCACCTGATGATAAATGGATGCTGTGCATCATTGATTAAGAATCAAAGTTCAGATGCGTTGTCACCTCTGAGGAATAAGATAGGACTAAGATGGAATGCCTTCGTTTCCAGTAAAAAGGGTCTCCAGTTTTCTTGTTCTTATAATAATATCCACTACCCCATATCGTCCCGTGGGTTTCGTATAAGGCGAGAGAGGGAAACTGAAACAAGGGATAGGCAGCAGCACCTTCCTGATAACAACTCAAAATAATAAAACGTGGTTGCCAACCCGCATGCCAAGCATGGAAACCATGGCAAAATCCCCCCTCTGGGGCAATCTATGGGGGTGGTCTATGTTCTGCAGTGGATTTTAATAGGCCGTAATAGATACTCAGAATCACCAAACGGTATTCACTGAAGGTCATACAGGTTTAAGCACCTACGTCGGCACATCCCGATGAGGAGATAGAGGAAATGTATGAGGATATTTCTAGAGCCATGCATTCCTCCAAAACGCGTTTTAAGGTATTAATGGGAGACTTTAACGCAAAACTAGGCACAAGAAAGAACGGTGAGCTGAAGGTAGGGAAATTTGGGATAGGGCAACGGAACCCAAGGGGCCAGTGGCTTGCCGACTTCATGGAGAAAGAGGGACTCTCTATGATGAACTCTTTTTTCCAGAAGCGGCCCCACAGAAAGTGGACCTTTCGAGCCCCGACGGTTCGACAAAAAATGAGATTGACTTCACTATGACGACTAGACGGCATCGGGTTGGGTTTGAAATTAAGTCGCCTGAATTTGAGTATTCTAATTACTTAACAGTGGAGGGGGAGGGGAGTCAAGGGGTCTATCCGAAGCACCCCCATTCAATTTTTGCTGCCGGAGCAGGGTCGGAGTATTTTTAAATATTTTTTTAAAATATTGGTAAATCACTAACTAAAAGTGAAATGGAACGTACATTTAACTAAATTCTAACGTTTTTGACGTTGCATCTGTCAAAGTCATCTCAAAATGCGTAAAGTGAATCCCTAGGCCGGTTATTTTGTTAAAGTGACAGATATACTTTACGTCATTCCGTTGTTTCTGAGTTTACGTGAATGTGCTCCCTAACGTTTTTATCTGCCTCCACCTGTTTTTCGACGACTTAGCTACCCCTTTGGATCCTTTTTTACAAATGTTCGTAGCTATAAATTATGTATATAATTTAAAGTAATTATAAAAGTTAATATTTTGGTGTTTTATTGAGTGTAAGAGAGAGCGAAACGAGCTCGGGACTTAGGGCAGACCCCGACTCGGACAGGTTAGGTTAGAAGAGGATAGCGGGGTCGAGTGAGCGAACGAAGCGAGCGAATAGATCCCGCCATCCTCTACGTTGTTAAATTTTAAGAAGCACTCAGAAGTAGGAGCTCCGCGAAGCGGGGTTCCATAACCGTGCTTCCCACGAATGCGCTACGTTTTGTGGCATGGGGATTCCCTCCCCCAACTCTCTCCCCCCATAAATCAAGTTTATAGTCGAAAACATTACGAAAAAATAACCTCAAATTAGAATTTTTATGAATTTATAAAAATAACTAAACACGTCCGGCAAGAGATGTAGGGGCGACTCTACAGCTCCCACGCCTCCCCTCCCCACCACTCCCCCCCCCAAATTCAGGCGACTTTATTTCAAACCTTACCAACGGCAACTGTTGAGTGATGTCTCAGTGATCGCAAGGGTGAAACTGGCAGCGATCACCGAATGCTTAGAGGCACACTGAACTTAAACGTTAAGTTGGAGAGGTTTCGTGTAATGAAGTCAACGCTCTGTCCCCCTCGTGCGCTAATCCAGGGTCCCGAAAACTTTCAGCTCGAATTACAAAACCGTTTTCAGTGCCTAGAAGACTGCAATACAGCGGACGATATGAATGACAAGCTTGTGAAAACTGTCCATGCGGTTGGAGCTAAGTTCTGCAAGACCCGCCGCAGAAGAACACAAAAACTCTCCGATCACACTCTTAATCTCACGAATGCAGTCTTCAGCAGATTTTGCAGCATACAGGCAACTGAACAGACAGATCAAATACATGCGGCGGGACTTACGCAACTTCAGTACAGCTCGTATTGAAGAAGCAATTGAGCGGAACCAGGGCTCCAAAGTCTTTGCCAGGGATCTGTCTGCCAGAAAGAGCCAACTCTCAAAGCTGAAGACTGGGTGTGGCAACATCGTTTCCGGGACACCTGAGATTTTGAGTGATAGCCTATTAAAAAAATTAGAATAGGATGCCAAACGAGCACACAGTCCACGTGATGGCAAGTGGATGCTGTGGTCCAGAGACATCTACATTTATCCTCGATTAAGAATCAAAATGCAGATGCATTGTTACCCGTGAGGACTAAGTGTAAGTGTAAGTGTAGTTCGTGCTAAAACTATAATATAGTTGCAGCTTGGCTCTACTACGTACAAATTGAAATCTCAATTAAACTTTCCAAACACAAGGAGTGAATAGCACATTAGTTACCGTCGTATCGATGCTGCCGTCCAACAGCTATACTGGGATGTGCGGCGGCTTGTATCCGCGTCTTGACCACGGACGCTGGATTTGCAGCCAGGCCGCTCATCACACCGCTGGCGCTTGACCAGAATATCGTCTTGTTAATATTGATGTCGCCGTCCTTTGACTTCGTCCAGCCTTGCACCTCCGCTACGTGATACATGCCTAACCTGAATACAATCTTACTCTTTATGTTAGTAAGAATCAGTAATGACATAAACAAGTATTAGGGTCCCGGATAATAAACAGAGTCTCACAGAATATCATCTTAATACTGCTGTGTTTCGTATTGTGAGTGTAAAGAACCGGAGATACTTTTTGCTGGAAACAAGGCATTCCATCTCAGTCCTCTCGTATGACAACACATCTATATTTTGATTCCAAATCGAGGATACATAATATGTAGATGTTTGTGAGCCACAGCATTAATTTACCATCACGTGGATAGTGCGCTCGTTTATTACCCTTATTCCATAAAAAAATTAAAACGCTATGCTATGTTTTTTAAAGGTGACTAAGGAGCACATAGTTTACCTAATGGTAATTGAATACAAAGATGCCTAAGTTCATCGTCACCTACACATCTTACATCTATCAAAAATTAATATTCCAAGAATAAGTTTCACGTGGTAGAACCACGCTGTAGCTATATTAGTTTACGATCAATGGATATGTCATATTTAGTAAAAAAAAGGATGGCAAAGAATTAGTGCCAACAGTAAATAATTTTATGTCCGTTCGGAAACACAAACACTGAATAAATTGAAACCGGAACTAAACGTTGTCAATAGTAATCAAAACGGGGCTTCAAATTGCCTGCATATAATTAAATTTATAACACATCTCGTGGGTGTCATAGAAGTCGAAAGAGGGATATGAAACAGGAGATCAGCAGCAGCACCCGCCTGATGACTACTAAAAATATGATTGTAACAATCTATGGAGGAGGCTTTTGATCAGCGTTGGGCTATTGATAAATTAAAAAATATTGTATATTTACTAAGTATTGTATACAACGGCATTACAGTGTAACAGGTCCAGGGCATCATGACACTAATATTATTTTTTGTTTCCATCCATCCCGTGTAGTGACGGTCAAGATTACCCACCACCTCATGTCTTCCCGTGGGTGTCGTAAGAGGCGGCAGAGGGAAACTGAGGCAGAAGGTGGGCAGCAGCATCTTTCCGATAACAGCGAATTAACAAAAAAAAAACTGTGTTTGCTAAACCTGCTCGCCAAGCGTAGTAACTATCACAATATACCCCCATAATGAGAGTTACAAAGAGACATCCCCCAGTACCCACGAATCGGTCGACTTGACCGAGGTAGGACCACGTACTCACAAAATACCAGCGTAAAATAGCAGCTTAACGCTTTTGTGTTTCGTGAATATAGAGAACAGGAGCCCCGTTTTAATGGAAATGGTCCATCATACATCTACCCTCGATAACGAGTCAAAATGCAGTTGCGTTGTCGGGCTAAGATGTAATGTCTCGTTACCAGTAAAATGCGTCTCCGGTTCTCTACAATCACCACACGAAACAGCAGCGTTGAGTTGCTATTTTACGCTGGTATTCTGTGAGAGCATGGTCTTTCACAGGTCGAGCAGGCCCATTCGTGCTACAACTATACTACTAATATACCATGGCTCTACCACGTGGGAAGTACACTAGTAGGAAGGATTTGCTTTAACCCTCTCACTTGGCAAGCAGTTTCACGATCGCAGTGCCAAACGTCTCACCCTCTTCGATGCTGCTGCCCATCGTCGGTCTGTGGGATTAGCTAAGTTGACTATCTATAAACGAAATTAATGTTTAGTCACGTGACTTCACGTTACTATCGTATGTGCCAGATCGATTGAGAAAAACGGACAATGACCTCAGATATGAGCCGAGTGTCAAAAGGCGTAACTTACGAAATCTCAATTTAGATGTGATAACAATATTTAAATATTGATACTTCTAGGTCAGCACATATGTTTTGTTTTTTTGTTTCTTAAATAATATTGTCTGTGGTTTCTATAAATATCGTAAAATCTTAGGTACATCGCGAAAAATGTGTTATGCTTTATATTTCAATTTATGGTAAGTAACGCAGCAATTCATTTTATAACAGTTTCATATTTAAAAAAAATATTTGAAGCATTATAATCACCATATTGAGCTTTTGCTAATTCATCCCTTTAAAATAAACAAAACGCGCGTTACATTAGTTCGTTCTTAAAGAAACGTGACAATGGCAGCTAGAGGTCCGCATGCTTCGAATAAAAATAAAGTTCTTACATAATATTGAAATTAAAGTCTTATCTTTTGAATAAGTACGTATTTAATCGATGTTGTTATCACTGGATTCTTTATATGTGTTATAAATTAATGCTTTTTGTTGTTAAACAAATAAAGTACTTTATAACAATATTTGTACTTATATTTTGTTTAGTACTTATATAATAACAATAGATAATTTTTCTTCTACAGCGATCTTTTACATAACTTTTTAATAATAGTTAATAAATATATATTATATCAATCACTATAAAAAATAAAAAAATCATTATAAATAAAGAAAGTACTACATATAAAATGTGCCTATATATTGAAGGTTTGTTACACCTGGTTAAACGATCGAAAGGTCATTGTCCGTTTTTCGCAATCGATTTTGCACATACTATAAGTCATTTCATCCATTATTATAGCTTTCTATTAGCGTAAATGATTGTAGAAAATTTACTTGGCTGACCCCCTTGGTTGACTTTATTAAGAGCTTGTAAAAATCCTGTTTTTGTGGTTTAAGAATGGAAAATATCATGACAAAAATAATAACTATTTGTGTACCGCGCAACTGTTGGTATAGTCTGTTAAGTGTTATCCTAATCTAGTCATCAATATGGCTATTATTAAAGAATTGTAGTAATAATAATAGGTAAGTGCATGATAAGTACCTAACTGAATTCATTGTGAATCCCAAGAGCATTGCTGGCACGAGTCCTTTTTGTAGGGCTAGCATGCCGTCGTTCCTTGCTATCACGTACAGAGCGTGAAATATCCCTCGATAACGTGTAGTGTGCTCATTTTTAGCTCGAAGTTCCCCTTGAAGTTGAAACCTAGTCTTCACCACGTCCATGGGGTTAGTAAAGATAGTCGCCCCCGCACCAGCCAAGCCGCCGATCACGAACTCCATAATGTTTTAAACGTCTCTCTGAAAATGGTAGTTAATTTTTATAGAATAAAGTTAATAGTGCAACAGTCACCATACGAAACACAGCAGCTGCTATTTTACGTTGGTATTCTGTGAGAACGTGCCGCGACCGACTATTTACCGTAATATGACTGCAGTATGGCTCTACCAATTACTATATCGACGAAAATAATGAATAAATAATGAAATTTACTGTTGCTAAAAAGATCGTCATTTTCGAAAATTTTGTCAAAAGCGCATAAATTTAAATTAAATTTAAAATTAAGTTACCCCCGCGTTTCGAAATTTCTCTCTATATTTCGTTATGTTTTTTATAGAATATGAGTGACAAACGAGCACACAGTCTACCTGATGTTATGTGGATGTTTTGGCCCATAAACATCTACATCTATCCTCGATTAAGAATTAAAATGCAGATGCGTTGTCAACCCTGAGGACTAAGATGGAATGCCTCGTTTCAAGTAAAAATTATCTCTGGTTCTCTACACTTACCATACGAAACACAGCAGCATTGAACTGCTATTTTACGCCAGTTTTCTGTGATTCCCGATAGAGCTGACCCATTCGTGCTACAACCATACAAATTTAACTGCAACATGGCTTTCCACGTACAAAAATGTAATAAAGGATTCTACGAAAATTCGCCAGCCTTTCCAAGAAGAGATTTTTACATGCTTTAGTAATTTATATACTTTTATTTCTTTCTATATTTGTATTCTACAACTCTACTTATCTCTAAGCAAAGTGACAAAAGAATTTTGATAATAACGTAATTTACACTAATTGGTGATTTCTTGGAAGGTGGGAGTAACATTTTGACCAGTCATTGTCCTCTAGGTACTATTGATTGTACTGATGCTCAATTTGTAGACTAACTCTAACTTATTCATTCTGTGGTGTAACGGATTCAGATCTGGACTGTACGAGGACTAGCCTTTGGCTCTTAAGCTGTCATTAATTTCGAGTCAGATTTCAGTTTTTCATGCTAGGCTTGAGTGAAAAATATCGATATTAGATATTTATTTTAAAGTATCGAATACGTATTAATTGCGATATATTTTAAAATTCTATATTTTTTATAATTTAATAGACAAAAAATAAAGCAACAAAAGCATTTATGTGTTATTGTTTGTTTCCGTTGTAAAAAGGTAGTACCAGTAGTATAAGTTTGGCCCTCATCCTTTTTTTATCTTATGGAAATCCTCATGGATACCTTCTGCTGCGGGGGCAACAGAAAGGTTATGCCGGACTCTAATCGGCTAAAACCCCACGGTGGTCACCATCAGCGTATATATGAGGGGTCCCGGGATCTCCGTTCGGAACGCAACCGGGGCCCCTCTCTCGCTTTGCTATATGGGAAGCACGTCCCGAGGGCAGTTCTTTCTGCAACCAGCACCCTCGTAGTGTTATCAAGATGCCGCGGGACCACTTATTGTCCTCCTCGGAGGTTCTTTAGGCATTCTGATCCCCGCCCAGAACGTCTGCAGTCCCAGAGGCCCCGTTTCTGGTAGGGGAACACCGTTTATAAGATGAGGGCCATGACGAACGCCCTGGCGACGTCGTCTCCGAGCAGCATCTCCCGATTCCGCTCAGGAGCCTCCTTATGGACCATAACTGATACACAGAAAGTGGCTACGGCTCTTCACGCCGAGTCCCTGCTCAGCATCGCCGACACGACTGCTGGCAGAGAGAGGTTCTGACCGATCCGGCTTATCAGGACCATTAGCTACCGCTCCCACACTGGACATGTTGCCATCGTATGGCAACATGTCCAGCGTATTATATAATATCATGTAATATAGATATAGGATGATGACCACATTAAACTTTTATAGGAATCGCTAGGCCTTTAGATCTGTTAGAACACACTGTCATTTTACTTATTGTAACGTTATACAGTCGTTGAAAAAATTCACCTGTAAGTAGCACATTACAGTATCTTCCACCAGCCTAACGAGGGTTTTGTCTGATCCACTCTCTTTAGCTACAGCTACTGATTTTTGGCACTCCTGTGGCATCGATGGTAAACCTAGCTTTAGGTCTTATTACATAATTTGCGACAGTATACGCGGTAATATTTTTTGTATCCAAGTATACAAGTAACAGCACGTCAAAAAAATCTCACTTATGCGATTCTGTTTTCTTGTTGAAAAAGATCGAAGTTTCTTACATAATAAACGCGTTCCAAATTAAATTTAGAAAAAAAAATTAATTTGACTGCCACATGCGTAATACTTGTAACTAGATTCTGCTTGTGGGGTCTGGTCTGCTGGAGTTCGCCGTACACATGGACTGATAGTCTTCAAATTTGTTATTATCCTTTTTTAAGTACATCATAGAACATGCTACAGTTAGCAGTAGGCTTATTACCGTTTTCCATTCTATATATATTATGTAATATTACCAAAAAAAAATGACAAAAAAGAGGGATAGGTCGTTTCCGTGTCGGCTCGATCGGTTCCGGGTCGTGTCATTTCTTCTCCAATTAGAGGAACTTCACTTCTAAAATGATAGTAGATTTTCAAAAAAATAACATTTTGACAAACGAAATTTTATTTTCATATGTCAAAGAAATTAATATATTTCATTTCATTTCAACGGTAAACCATTATTATATTTGTGTCTTTCAGCGGCAAAGCTAGATACGCCGTTTTACATATTATATAGTGTAGATAAAATGGCCATGAAGAGCTTATCAGACGAATGTTTTCAAGGCAAACCAATTTATTATGTAAATTAGTAGGCATTACGTCATTTAGATAGAAACATAAATAGATTTGTTGTATAAAGGCTACGATTACCATTGCAGCCTATTAAAGTCCACAGATTGCCTTATAGGCGGGATATTTGCCATAGTTGCCACGCCTGGCAAGCTGGTTGGTAACCTCTTACTAACACTTAATCTCTGTCGCCTCTTACGACACCCACGGGATGATATGACGTAGTGGATATTCTTACACCGCTACTACATGGTGTGGTAGCGGTGTAAGAATATCCACTACGTTATTTTATTTTATGATGTTTTATGATTACATTATATTATGATGATGATAATGATACTACACGGTGAGTATAAAGGTTAACTATAAGGTAAGGTAATAAGGTGTTTTAAAATCATAATTGTTTTAGAATTTAATTGATTGAATTTGGAAATTTATTTACAGTCCACCTGTAGAGTGGCTACTATTGTCCATGGACACCTGGACTTAATACAACACAGATACAGATGCGTTGTCACAAGATGTTTAAAATTAATTATAATTAATTTTATCCATCTTAGATAATCATCTAGATGTTTATCTAAGATGGATGTAACAAAAGAAAATGATGTGTCTTATTTAGTTTGAAGATGTCGTTTTATTTTATTACGCGGATCTTAGCTATTTAAACCCTATTTCTATCATTTATACCGACTCTCTAGACCAGGGGTAGCGAAACTTTATGTATCAACGTGCCATTTTTTCTAGACATATTTAATTAGGTAATAGACGTGAATTTTGATTTCGTGATTATTTTGAAAATAATATTACTGAGTACTATCGACTCAAAACTCTTTATTAACTAACAAAAAAGAGTTTTGAGTAGTTTTGAGTGAGTTGTATAACAAGAAATGTTTTAGTTATACGCGTAATTCAAATTAAAGTAACATTAGTGTGACTTCTGTTGTTGCAGATTGGATGACAAATAACTTATATTGGGGTTGTAAAATCCTAAATATAAGACAAATGAACTTTTAAATACAGTTTCGTCAACGAAATTGACTATTATTCTATGCGTAAACGAACAATGCTCGTGGGTTAAGAGTACTCTTCATTTGGCCCATTTTAAATATATCACTAATTTGTTCAGTAAACTTTCGCCTAGGACGTTTCGACTTCCCGACTCTGCCGTTTATTTCTGCAACATAAAGTTGCTTTGTTACCCTTTCCTCATTAATTCCTCATACATGACCAAACCACCGACGTTTCTCTTTCTTAATCCTGCTCACAACATCATCATGCAAACCACACTATGCTCTTATCACACAATTTCTTATCCTGACATGACTCAGATTCAGCCCTAACATACTCCTAAACGACCGCGTTTCTACTGCGTTTATTATACTCTCGTGCTTCGGTACTATCGTGACGGTATGTAATATGTAACACTTATTTCTACTTACATTAAATATATTGACATTGACTTTATCAACTTACCATTTATAACATAAGTCGATCCTTTCACAAAACCTGAACACAAAGCATAAATATAGTTGTCCTCTGAAAAATTATATAAGATTAGAAATACAAAGTTGTTTATTATCTGTGGCACTGGTATTAAATATTTCGCACTACACACACGCACACACAATATACGACTTGTTTCTTTGCTGGAGTAATAGCCACTATCCGTGTTCCGCGTAAGCGTGGCGTTTCTGACGATTCGCGAGTTCGCGACATTCTTAAATTACGTAATAAATGGAAGGGTTTAACTAATAGCAAAACATTTTATAATTTATATTTCTAGTTATTCAAAAATTTTATACGTATATTATATATTGCACACGCTTAAACTGAAATGAATTTATTAGTATAATAACATAAATAGCTTTGAATTTTTAACATCCCGCTTTGAAAATTAATAATTTTCAGAAGTAGGAAGTAGTAAAATTTTCTTTATAATCGTTTTTCGATGCAACTTTTGAGTTCGATAAGCTCAAAAGCAACCAATTGGAAGATTTTCAAACGTTCAGGCTCAAAAAGCTTGAAGTTCCAGAATTGGCCTACCGGTCAACCACTTTTTAGATTTTTTTTTCTTTAAAATGTGTT